CGTCGCAGCTCGCGGAATATGATCCAATCAGATCGCGTCAGGGGTCCGAGGGAATTTACTTGCTTAAGGTCACGGGTGACAGGGACGAGACGCGCGACTACGATGAAGCAGTCACCCTGTACATATTCAAAACACGGTTTCCGTAGATTGCCATATTATTATCTTTCCCCAGTTTTTTTTCTTCTGAATCCATAAATTAGTATATCGACCACCTGATATAATTTTTGTTTGATGGTTTTATTCCCTATGCCAGGTATCTCAGGCACTTGCCCATCTCACGAGCGTTTATCTGAGTTCAGTACAGGTCACGAGAGTAGAACTGTTCGATGTGAATTCGGCCGTTGGCGCTCTGATGGAGGTCAGATCTCTGGCCAACGTATTTCCCTGGGTTGACTATAAAAATGTGTTCCAGCAAATGCATGAAACTGTTTTTGATACTGGTGTGAAGTTGATTTTGTCTGACCGGTTCACATTTTTGACACTTGGTGATCCGGACGTTTACAGATGTATACTAGATCGTTATTCGCATTGACACGGCTTTGCACACCCAATTGTTTTTACCCTTTGTGTTTTTTGTGTTGATAACAATTCTATTCCTTTCTCCAACACTTCCTTTGCCATTACCATTTGAGTGCATTCCAGTTGTCATTGATCTTTCCGTTTAACATTATTCCATCTGCAGTTAGGTGTAACTAATAAATTTATTCGAATCAATAGTCATCACGTATCCTCAATTCTCAGTAGCCGATAGTCGATTTTAACCTTAGACGTATGCGTTGTCAAGACTGTCAATGGAGGTCAAACACCAATCAAAAGGCTAAGTTGCCTAGAGTGTCTGCGTTTACGATTTGTTCGTCTGAGGTTTATAGATCCACAGAGAACCGTACATAACAGTCATGTGGATGAGGCATGCTCTCGCTCGCAGCTGCTCATTGCAAGTATGTTTGGGCTGAGTTGATCTGTCTATTTACTGATAATGAAAGGGATGAACGAGGATAAAAATATATCCGATTCTTTGGAGAGACTGTCGAAATGGATCTGTGATATTTGTGATATCTAGCAATGTGATGTAACCTGAGCAGTCACGTTTTTTCTAACAACTTGTTCGAAGTCCATTGTGAGCACAAGTGTCCCCATTTGGATGTCACAGATCCTAAATACAATTCAGTACATCTTAGCACTAAACGTTTCCGCCATAAACCAACTCTAACGAGATGTTTTTGCTTCTCATTTTGTGATGATGAACAATGAGAGGCTGTTTGCATTAGATCGAGTTAAAAATGGACCTGTCACACTTGGAATATCGTGGGATCCAATGTCTAATGTAAGTACCAGAACGTCCGTCTTCAAATGTTTTATGAAGGTTCAACTTGGATTCTGCAGGTTCTCATCTTCACCGGTGACGGAGACGCGTTATTTATCTGTGACATTCTCACCTACTAGTCTTTCTGGTGAACGTTACCCATAAATTGACGGCTTTTCAGCTTGGTCGTTTCTGTTATTATTATTATTATTAATATTATTATTATTATTATTATTATACCCGTATTTGTGTTTTTGAGGAGAATGCGTGCTTAGCTCAAGTCCATTTTGTATTGCTTCATTCGGCGACCCTAGGCATCAAATTATAGGAATTTCCTCCTGTTCTTGGAGGAGAATGGATTGAAAAGCCATTTGCATTTTGATCCATGTGAAGTTGTATCTTAAGTCTGTATCTTTGTTTATCTTTGCGTCTGGAATGTGCAGTTCGCTTTGGTTCTCCTTTCTGTAAGTAAAAGATTGCAACAATGTCGTGTTTATAAGATTCCAATAATATGTTGGATAAAACAGACTTCCTGGACAGGATTACATCATCGTCTCCAAAGGGGTTGTTTATAATTGGTATTGCTCGTTTAGAAACTTATCGTTTTTATTGGAGTTCTGCAGGTGTCGTCATTAACATTGCTTTGTGCAGTTTCCGTTTGCTTGGTAGGCATCATCAATCTGAACAGGCTTTTCTTTCGTTTGGATGGTTACTTTCTATACGAGCTGAATATGAGTAGTCCTGGATTGCCTAACTGCAATGAGTAACACCTACGACTGACAAGATTACAACCAACGGTTCCATGTCGATCGATATTCACCTCACTGATTTTCCGTTCTTATCTTGATATGTGCTCAGGTAGGAATACAGATAAACGCGCTGGTTTAGTGACTAACTTGCTTCCATTTGAGGTTTGTTCTTCCAGCGACCCTAACGTCTTGTAACTGGAATCTTTCTAGCTGTAATAGCTGAATTGTTTTTAAAGTACAGTGCAATTTACGAGGGGGTCAATGGATTATTGTTAACCTGGTACTACTAGATTCATGCTTATATTTGTGTAGGAAGCATAATATTTCACGTCACATACCGACCTGTTTGTGACCTCGTCACGATTCGTAAAATATCCTCGAACCTTCATTGTTTCGTTCACGCTGGCCCACGGCGGAAATGGTCGTCAATCAAAACAGCAACCATACAAGCCAGCGGTTCTGTGGTGGGGGCAATTAGACAAGCGTGACTCCAAAATAATTAAAGATAATGTTCAAGTTTAACCACTTTTTTTCTTAATCTTGTGGTGATTTGCACATTGAGATTGCAGGCGAACGCACCGGAACAAACGTACACATCAACGGAACAAGTTTCTTAGTTGTTTCAAATGACAATTCGTCGTGTATATGGCAAATGAAGCGTGAACTGAAAAGCTCGGA